TTTAGCTTGGCCCGAAGGCGTCTGTGGCCTGCACCTTTTGATGTGCCGCCATCCACATCGCCAACGCGGGAACAGTCGACTGGCTAGCTGAACTGGTCAGTCTGCCTGTCTGCCAGTCCCTCTGTCTCTCTGTCTGTCTGTCCGACCCTCGGTCCGTCTGTCTTTGTGGATGTCCGCGCCACCCGTGCGAAAAGTTTGCTGTCGGCTCGCTCTTATCAACTGTCCAAAGCTTTTGCGCTCGTTCAAATCAATTTGAAGCGGTCGCCATCCGCGCACCACACACAAAGCCAGCGGGAGCAGTCGGCGAAGGGGGGACCGGGGGATTGCAGTGCGCATGCGCGGCGTTTAAAAGCAAACTCGAATGACTGACACATAGAGGGCGCTCGCGCGCCTTGCAAATGCGGGACATGAGATACTCGTGTATCTGAATCTTCATCTCCATCCGCGATCCGCCATCCGCCATCCGCCGTCCGCCGTCCTCGAATCGCCAGCTGTTGTCGGCGGCCTTTTGGCCTGAGTTACTGCCTTTGTTCTTTGCCGTCAGCGTTAAATGCTTTTTTTGCGGCTTTTATTAAATTATTATTTACTTTTATTACAAAGCGCGACGGCCGCATGGCAAATTGATGTGATATTTCAATTTGTGACGCTTGACGACGCTTCGTGTATTAATCTTTGATGTGCACATACCTACATAGTTATATCATACATATATATATATATAAATATATGTACACATCAAAATATTAATGCTTCAGTCGCTATACTTGAACTTCAAAGCGTTCGGCCAACCCTTTGCTAATAAAATTGGTCCAAAAATAAAACAGAGACAGATGCAGATACAGCTACAGATACAGATACAAGTACACAGATACTTTTGGACAGGGAGAGAGAGAGAGAGCAACTTCAAAGCGTTTTTCAGCATTGCCTCGGATTGGGTGGGCGAAGGGGTTTCTTGCTCATAAGCATAGGCAATTGAAATGCTTAGCAAGAGCGAGCGGGCCACAGATTTGCCAAGCTTTACGTTTCGCTGTTGTTGTTGTTGATTTTGTTGTACATAAATGTATTTGCTGCCTACTTAAGTTGGCAGCCCCGTTGCCACACCCCGCGCCACGCCGTCACATTTTAATTGTTGTCAACCCACACGGAGATGGACACAAAGCAGCCGCACCCAAAAGCGTCGCCCCTCTCTGCCGGCCAGTCCCTCCATTCGGTTCGGGCGGCTTTGGTTCGGTTTGGGTTCGGTTTGCGCCGCTCGACTCTGTCGGTACATGAAAAAGACATCAAAGCAAATCTTGACAGCATATATATGCCTGTTATCTGCATCTAACAGGCATACACTGAACGGCATGCATGAGAGGTGCGGGTAGCGGGGTGCGGGGCTTGTGTGTTGCAACGGATGCAGGCCACCACCAATCCCCCCTCTCTCTCTCTCTCTCCCGCTGTTCCACTCTGGGTTGACTGCTCCTTGCGGAAACTCGTACACTTCCTGCTCTTCTACGGCTCTTGGCTCGACTTGGCTCGGTTCGACTGCACTGTCCACTTTCAAGTTGCCTTTTCACTCATCCAAACAACAAAAACCTTCCTTCGTTAGCCAAACCAAATGCAACTCTCGAATAAATGTGTAAAGCATGTCAAATTGCGTACGTGTAGGCAGTTGGGCTTTCATTTTGGTCACCCGGTTGGCCATAATGAAAGTCTTGCTGGTACTAATTTGATTTGCATTTGCAGTTTCTACCCAATCATGAAATCTGAACCCTTTGACGTTCATCTACAGAGTAAAGTAAAGCTCGCCGCAATTCATAAGCTGCCCGTCTCCAATTGAAATAGAATTGGTTTATCGAGAAATGCACGAAGATTGTATACCCTTACTGAACTACGTTCGACCTATAGAAATACTTCACTTTACTTTTCAGGGAGTGCTCTTCTATACAGAGAAGACTCTCTGGGGCTGTTGAAGCTTTTAATAGCTGAGGTCTTTTTCTAATAAGGAACTCACGATAAGGTTAGGTAACATAGACGTTCCTTGAGAAACTTATTCACACCTAATCATTGGGAATGTGCAGACATGTCATATCGGCTATTAAACACCTTTAGAGTTGAGACAGGCATATATATCTTCATCATTCAGCCAGTGGTTGAGCTTTGAATGGATTGCGAGACTGCGCATGCGTGAGCCTTGAGTTATGGCAATCAAATGGGCCCATGTGTGGCCAGCACCAGAGGCTAGTAAATCAAATTTTTGGCGTGCCGTGTAAACAATGTTATAAATCAGAAAGCCGCAAGACAACAGTCAGACAGCAGCAGGAGCAGGAGCACTGAGCTGGGGCAGGGGCTGGGCAGAGGTATGTATGCTGAGGCTGAGGGAAACGCCCACGCAGACAAGGAAAACGCAGGCGGATTGCAATGCGCCAGGATGCATATGACGCATAAGGCTATTAACATATGAGACAGGGGCACGGACAGCGCCATATGGAACATATGAAGCGGCAGTCGTGGGTGTGCTAAGTTAAGATTTACTGTGCCGACAAATAATTGCAATTGAGACAGCGACAAGCTGGTTATTTAACTTCAGTCTCTGGGCGCTTACCCAAAAGATATCTCCAGCTAGCTCAATTAATTTTCGACAATTGAAATCAGACAAACTGAGGCGCAGCTATATATTTTCATACAACTTCAGGCTAACCCCACAGCGCGTTTTATTTTTGACTCTTGCTCAGCCGTTTAACAAAAAGCGCGCTTTGTTTTGGATTTTTTGTTTTTGTTGTCGCCGGCATACAAGAAAATACAAATCTGTCTGGCTTTCATGGAGACGCATAAAAAAGAAAAACAACAAGACGACCAGCCGCAAAAGTCATTAACGCCCAGTCAAAAGACCGAAAAAAATAACTTGCAGAGGGAACCAATATTAAAACACAGTGGCGGCGGCCAAGGGGGCCAAATAGGGGCTTAATAAAATTATAGATATAATATATGAGAAATTATATTATGTTTAAGCTGAAGTAAGATCTATAAGCCAGAGCTGACAAGCCAAAAAAGGATCTCGGCTCGGTGCTTTTAAGCCAGGTTTTGGCCCTAATTTTGAAATATTTATTCTATTTGTAATTTACAATTGCCCGTTACACTGAAAATATCGCAAATCATACGTATTTATTTTACACCCAAAATTGGCGTTAAATTGTAATTAATTAAATTACATTAACTATATCAATGAAAAATAAAAGTATTCGCAATAAAATTGTTAAGCGACTTGAAAAAGTTGAATTCAATTTATGAATATCGATAACCTTGGCCAGGTTAACTGTGTGCTTAGCCTTACAGTACACGTCCAAAGTTATTCATTGGCACGTATTCAAAAGTGTACTCACAAATTATTAAAAAATAAGTTTCATCAGCAACGTGCGGGAATATGCTATTCATATGGTCATAAACGAGGCATTTGAAGTGTTGGCATTGTCTCGCCGTTTCTCAGTCGGTTCGGTTTGTCTTCGTGCCGCGCATTGCACAACAAATCAATTTTTTACGTTTAGGAAATTACAATTTTTTATACATTTCGTTTTGTTTTTGTTAAATAATAAAATGTCGAAAGATGTGCCACAAAGAAAAACTTTCGAGCACACTGAAAACGCAGCAGAAAATTGATTTTCGAGTCTTGGGCCACGGACAGCTAGACAGCTGGATGAATGCTATGGGCTGGATAGATGAATATGGATGGCTATACGGAGAAACACATTCAACTGGGCGGGGGGGCGCTACTCTCTTGGATGGCGGCCGCCTCGAATGCTGCGTGTCCGCTGAGTGATGTGCGCATGGACAATGAAGCTACGACGGCATGAACAACAACTGAATGAGGCGGCAATCTCTGTGTTGTTGCTGTTGTTGTTGTTGCCCCCGCTTAATCATGTCTACCTCTCCGGCTCGGGCTTTGGGTGTATGACACCGAATGAAAAGCGTCAAAGAGCCAGCCGACGCAGCACGACTCGAAGACGAATTGAAGACTCAAACAACTCTCCGCCCCCCCTTGCCCGTGTCCGTGTCCGTGCCCGTCTCAGACGCCCGCCGCAGCAGCGGCTTCAGCGTTTAATTAAAAGGCAAAGGCGGTGGCCAACGGTTGATCATTATCCATGACAGTCAGATAATGCCCGACTCCGGAGGCTGCCACATCGCTTGGAGATTGTGTGTTCGGGCTGGGTTTTTTTTTTTTTTGAAGTTTCAGTCTGGGCTGGAGTTTGAGTTTCAGTTTGAGTTTAAGTTTCCATTGGGTTGGGCATGGGGCACTTTGGCTGTGACTGTGGCAACGCCTTCCAGTGTTTGGTGTCCGCACTTTAAAAAATTATATTTTATTTTCATTTGGCCTTAGAGCTCGCGCTCTCTCTCTATCTCACTATAATTTACCGCGAAAATGTAGCATATATTTATTTGAATATGTGTTTCTTTTTTTTTTGTTGGGGCTATCATAAAAATGCATAAATTATTTGTAGCTAGCCGAATAGAGTAACAAGTCGGAAAGCTAGTTTTTGTGCAAGCAATATATATGTGTATATATTATTTTTCAAAATTATATGGTTCAGTGTAGGGTAAATAATTTTGGGGCAAAAACTTGAAGTGTGTGTGAGAAGAAGACAAAAAACTACATATAAATTATATATTCTACTATGTGTATAGCAATGTGTTGCTTTATACAAAGTTTTCCTGGAATATTATTTCAGTTGCCTGTTTTACATTTAGAAAAATATTCCTAAAAAAGTGTCTATTAGTATATTATACAATTGCTTTGAGAACAATGTACATAAAAGATTTTGAATTATAGCTGATAACTATTTGATTATTTATATGAACACCGATTTTAAAATATATATACTTAGCTGAATTCAAAATCTTGTTCTCCAATGAAAATATTTTGGGTAATCTGTAGACAGCTTTTTTCTGATATTCAATTAATTTCTTAGCTAATGAACACAAAGTATTTCATTTTATTTATTTATTTTAAAGTTGCTTATTTATTTTTCTGTATTAATTTTCTAAACAGAAAATTCTGTAGTATTTTTATTGGCCATAATTTTATTAATTGTTTTGAAAATATTATCATGTCGAACTTGCCACAGAGATTGCAAATCAAAACAAAAATTCCCAGTCATCTACACTTCATTGATTTCCTGCTCAACTGTTGCCCATAAATTTCAATTAGTTTGAATATTTGTTGTATATTTTCAATGTGAGCGCCGATCAACAATTCGTGCATTTTATTTATTTAGCTAAATGTTTCGAGGGTGCAGCAAAGCGAAGCAACAAACCAAAATTTATCAAATAACGAGAAAGTAAGAATATCTCTGAAGTTGAAATACTCTTACAGATATTTCCATTTTGCAAATATGTGAGAAGATTGCAACTCCAAGCCGACTTTCCCATTGTAGCTATATTATATAGTTGTCCGAAGTTGATAAGAAATTGTATATATGAAGAGAGAATAGGGAGACTTACATTTCTTAATTTAGATAAGAGTAAGATATTTATATAAACAAAGAAGTTTATCATACCTACCTTTGGGCCGATCGATCCTATGGCAGTTATATTATAGTAGTAGGCCGATCCGTCCGGTTCCCACATATGCCTGCGGACAGACTTATATGAATATATCAACTCGGCTCTTGATGCTGATTTAGAATACATATAGCTTATGCAGTAGGAGATGTTTCCTTCCATGCGTTACACATTTAATGACAAAAGTATAATAGCCTTTACAAGGGTATAACAATAAAAACATTTTCAATAAATTATGAGTGGAGCGTAAATTAGATACGCAGATAAAATGGGATAGATTGCGCCACAACGACATTTACAGGCCGTGCTGCTCATTAAAAATTATTTCCCAAAATTAAAAGCAACAACTGATCGTTGTTAGAGGGACCCTAAAGAAATTATATATATATATATATTTTTTTTTTATAAGTTTTTCGACACTCGTAAAAATGTAAAATCGAAAATGTAAAATCGAAACGATGTACGCATGCAACTATTAAATAAATTAACTTTGTTGTAAGTGCTGGCCATAAATATTTATGTATATGCCTGGCCTGTCATAAAATTCCAAATTCAAATGAAGTTGTCGTCGGTCAGTTTGCTAGGTGCGGGGCGAGCCGATAGACGATTGGGGGGGGTGTGTTTATAAACAAATTTTGAAAACAATTATGAATTATCTTTGGCCTCGTCCGGCTGTGCCACGACAGGAAATTATATTGTTGGGCCATAAAAGTGACAGGCGAGCCGAACCATTCATCGAATATCCAAAGATCTCTTAAGGCTGGCTGGCAGAAACATGTGCAACTTGCCCCGTTTGATGTTTGTGCCTCATTTTCCAAATGACTTTTACGCAGAAGTCGTTAAAAATCAACGAAAATTTCCAATTAATTTTGATAAACACTCCCCTCGCATCGCTTATGCATGCATGCGCAACTCCTACCCCGAAAAAAAATTGAAAAAAAAACAAGTTACAAAAAAAAATTGTTGTTCGAGTTGTTCTATTGATTGCTTGGCAGAGAGCAAAGACCAATTGTTGCTTATTAGGCCGAAATCGTTAAAAATCTATTCAAACACTTACGCACACACGCAGACACACACACACACAGGCACAACCAACAAAAAATTGTCTACAAAATGAAGCCATTCAATAGGCTGGCACATTTTATGAGCTTTTTTCGGGCTGATTTTTGGCCGCCTTTCTTTGATTTTATGATTTTCAGTTACAAGAGTTTCCAAGAGTCCGCCTCATGTCCGGAGGTTTATCAACAAGCGATTAGGCCACATAGAGCCTCCAAATTGCGGCTGGGATACTTTTATGGCGAGATTAACGATGCCAAAAACACGCTGCCAGCAGATAAATTTTTGGTATTGAAAACAAGCGATTGCAGCGTGAGGGAATTCCGATTTTATGGCTTGAAACTCCAAAGCTAATTTGGTACTAAAGCTAAGGCTCAGAGGGTTTTTCAACTAATTCAACGGGAAACTAATCTAAGAGGCTAATTAAAATCAAATGTCAGCAGAATCTAGCATCTCCTTCAATCATACTCAATTACTTTGGTGCTCAAATCTGTCTTAACATGCATCTATAAAATTAATTAGAAATCATATAATGAAGCTGTACAGATTTACGTGACGATTACAACGTGTATATATCTGTATGGTTTTTTGTAATCTCAGAATTATAAGCCTATAAAGCTTTCTTTTCCCTATCTCTAGCAGTATCCATTGCAATTACTTGATTTTTGTAAATCTCTTAGGTCTTCAACTGTTTCTTTCAGTTTCTTTTCTTGTTTTTTTTTTTTTTTTCGTACCGAATAGTTCGCTCTCTGACGCTCGTTTGCTTAAGCAACGCCTTTCTATGCGATTTTCATGAAATTGAGTAAGCAGCTCAAACTTTAAGGTTGATATTCACAAAAACAGGGATATTAAAAAAGTTTTGTGCCTTCCCTTTCTATTAGTTTACCCCACACATCATAGTGTATTGTAGTGTGCATCTATTTGCTTAACCTGTACCATGATGGACATTTATAAAGGGATGCACTTAATTTTTATTGGTTTTCCCAACGAATATCTCTTTCGAAAACTAATTATAAAATGCCATTTAGCCTAATGAAGTTCCATCAACAAGTAAGGCCCACAGAAGCTCATCTCTGCAACACATGTGTGACAGCCAAACCAACCAGCTTTCCGTGCCTGGTTGCAGCTACGGCCCATGTCAATTAGAGTGACAGTTGCCGGGGCCAGCACTCAGTCAGCGTCGGGTGTGTAGGGATTGTAGGGAGTGCTAAAACTCTAACGCAATGACCTATCCAGCTGCAGGGCCACTCACACATACACAACACGCCCACTTTTTGCGCCTGTTTTGGGTAATTACATTTGTGAGGCAGCAAGGGATGGGAAAAAATATGAAATGACGGCCGGCGACATATGACAGACGACCATCGACAGAGGAGTGAGGACAGACAGGCTGTTCCATCAGCTTTTGTCAAACGTATTGCGAAAATTGTGCGAAATTTAACAGAACATACAAAACATAAATCAATAAGAGGCTGGCAGACAGAAAACAGAAAACTGGCCGGGAATGAGCAGGACAGACATTGAACCGACATCAATCAAAAGCCTGTAGTTGGTTAAATGAGCGTATGGAACAATCAAAAATTGCCCGCATCCCCTGTGGCTGGAGCTGCACAAAGGAGGGAGCGAGCGGTTTCAAGTAGGGGGCCAAAATTATACAAAAGAACGCCATGAAATTAAGACGACTAGCGACGGATCATTGATGCTGCTGATGATCAGAATGATAATGATAATCATGCTGCTGATGCTGATGCTGATGATGATGATGATGACGCAAAAGAAGCCAGAACAAAGGCGCTGCAGGAAACGAAACCAAAACCATAACCAAGACCAAGACCAAGACCAAAGCCAAAGCCAAAGCCAAAGAAAACCGAAAGAAGCAGCAGTCAAAAGAAACCCTTCTACTGCCCTCTGGCTGTTGGAGAGGGGTGCCAGCGATGCGGGGCGGGGCTTACTCCTTTTGCGGGTCCCGCTGCGATCGCGTGTTCTTCTTCAATTACAGCGCCATTATACGAATGCGGAACGTTTACGGTGTCGGCGATGGTGCTGGAGCCGGTGCCGATGCCGATGACGATGCCGATGACGCTGTGCGGTGCCGATGCCCGGGCCTAAGGCTGTGGGATGGAGGCCTCTGGACGCACAAAGCCGCCGTCGCCGACGATTTCTGGTACCGGCAGCTTCTCCACTTGCCAAAGACAACACTTTTTTTTCCATTTTCTCTTTTTTCTCAGTATTTTTTGGTGTTTGTGGGCTTGCAGCGTAATTCAGGATTCTGGTTGCTCTGTTATTATCGTCGGGCTTGGGCCTTGGAGCCGGGGCAAGTTTTTGGCGGCTGCTGCTGGGTAATTGCCCCGATGTCGAGCACAGCGGGCGGCGGCATTAACAACAACAACAACAACAACAAAAACAATAAGAACAACAACTGAGCTCTTCTACTCAGAAGCCAAAAAACTGAACGTCTGATCAGTGATCCTTCAAATTATAAAACAATTAAATTTCAAAAAATTCTTTGAAGTCCGAGTAAATTACATATATGTATATGTATTTGTATTAAGTTAGATCATGAGACATTTTAACTGATATTTTGTATAGTGTCTATATGAGATATAATACAAAGGATAGGATATCTCGTGGTCTAAATACATAGATCTAAGAAACGATTATATAATTTTTCGTGACTGACTGAACGATTGTGTTATAAAGCACGATTTAACCTATGTGTTATTATATTATGATAATACTTGTTTGGGCAAGGACAAGGTGCTGTATAAAAACTTATTTTAAATAGTGCTTTACTATGCGATTCTCATAAATTCAAGTAGCAAGTGTTATATTATTTACTCTATCTGTGCTGATACTTCTTGTATCACTCTTTATAATTTGATTTATTGCATTCTACCTCGCTCTCGCTCCTCATATTCCTTACATTTTTTCCTTTTAAAACACAATCATACACAATATTTAATAATTAGTCCTTTACCAAAAAAAGAAAATAAAATGATGCAGAAATTAAGATTATTTACATTTTAAATACCTTATTAATACCTATTTGTGGCTACAGGGTATAAAGCGCACTGCCACAGCCCAAAAGAGCAAGTGAAACTCTTAATTGGCAGCTCTTAAATAAATAAATGTCAATGCCGAACATTGGACTGTTGTGTTTATGAATGTTAACAGGAGCATTGCTAGTATGTTACGGTTAACAGACGCCGAGCCAGTCTTCCGCATTGTATTTATCACTTGCTTGGGCCAACAGCGGCTGCGATTTCTGTAATAATATTACAGAGCAACATGTTCCGTTTCCATGCGTCGCGCACTGTGACAGCGATAACAGCAGAAGAGAGTCAATGTTATTAACGCGCGCTCTCTCTCTCTCACTCACAAACCACTTTTTGTTTTGGTAAGCGTCGAAGGCGCCGTTAAGTGTTTCGCGTTTTCAGTTCGTTTCTGTACGCAAGTCGAGTTGGTCGTGTTTGTCCGCTAGGTAGCGCGTTGTGCTTGTCGTCTTCTTCTAGAAAATACGCGCGGCAAATGTGCGTCCTTTACAAAACATAAATAAAAACAACAACTGACTGAAAAATTGTGTTCGTAGTGAATGAAGTACGGTATGTTTAGTGTTTGCGAGAAATATTAGGCTAAAATATTTGCAATTTGTGCGGTGTGCAGCGAAAAAGCAAGTGCCGTTAAATACAAAACCGCCCCGCAACAACAACAACAACCGTTACACCCCAAAAATACGCTGTCAACATCGCAGTCGCTGTCGTTGTCGCGGTCGCCGTCGCCGTCGCAGTCAGCGTCGCTGTTCGCATTTGGAAATACAAATCGTGTTTTGCGCTTTAGCATTTTGCAGTTGTTGTTGTTGTTGTTGTTGCCGCTGTTCACTCGCCAAGTTATTTACGTCGCGTCGCGCAAACAACAACAGCAACAAAACAAAAATTTACAATTAAAATTACGCGCGCTACGTCAAAAAGTATCTGCGAGATACACACACCCAACACACACACCAAAAACAACAACTAGAGAGAGAGAGAGAGAGAGAGAGAGAGGAGGAGAGAAAGAGAAGGAACAAGTCGCACAATATGCGCAAAATTCAACTAAAATGCAGCATATCCCGGCTGTAAAAAGTTTTACGATCCAACCTTAACGCAATTCCCCGACCCGCACAGCCCCGAAATAATGCCAGATACAAATTAAGGTCGCTACGTTGCGCCGTGGCACCTGAGAGCAAGTGTATTAGTCTCAGCAGCAGCAGCAGCAGCAGCAGCAGCGGGAAAAACAACAACAAACAAGGATAACCCACCCACAAAGGCCGTAAAACATTTTGGCCAAAGCAACATTTACAGTTACAGTCGCTACAGGCTCGTAAATTGCCAGCAAAACAAAAAAAAAAAAAAACAAAAGAGAACAAAAAACAACAACAATTGTAGTTGCAACCGTAAGAGGCGGCAGCAGCAGCAGAGATGGCGGGCAACATTGTCAAATGGTGGAAACACAAGATACTCGGCGGCTATAAACAATTCTCAGGTAAGCTAAACTTAACTAAATATTTGGGCTATCCGAGCAGACAATAAAAACAAACTTTAAGATACTTGTCATTTTGTTGTAAACATGCACATGAAAGTTAAAAAACTTAATAACATAAACTTTTCGCACAACTCGAATAAAAAACACACACAAAAATGTGCTAAAATGTTGCTTTGTTTCCGTTTGACATTTATTAGAATATTTTATTTGTATGCCTTAAGCTGTGTTCACACCTAACAATAAATTGAGGCATAGAATGCTAGTATATGCAAAAATGATATAGAACAATTAGTAAAAGAATGAAACACATTTGTTTTCTTCAGTCATTGCCAAGAAATTTCGAAAAAAAACATACATTTTTGTCTATGTTTTTTGAATAATAATAATAAAAGCTTATTATAAAAGACATATTTCTAGATGCTTTGCAGAATGAATGAAACATAGGTGGAAACATTTGGTATTTTAAATAAACAAAATGTATGCTTACTTATTTGTCACATATATGACGCTTAGGCTTGTCTACAAATCCCATACGAAACTAAAAGGTTTCATTTAGGACAAGAAATTCTCAAAAATTCGATCAGATATTTTGTGATGGTCTTATGTTGCGGCACTCGGTGCTGTTGTCTATGAAATAAATTTGAAGATTCATTCAGTCAAGGGCTTCTCCCACATCCTTTTCCAATAATTACACACACACACACACACACGCACAACAACAACAAGAAAAGCAACGAGAATAACAACGGCAAATGGAAAATGTAGGCAATCGACAGAGCGTTGCGTTCTTTATCTGCAAGATACACAGAACGGGGCGGCGTTCGCTTGTGGTCGGTCGGTGGAGAAAAAAAGGCACACAAAAATAGAACGTAGAAAATCCAAAACAACAACAACAGCAACAGCAACTTACTGAACATCAAAAGAAAACGACGCACGAAAAATAAATAGAAAATGGAAAAACCAAAGAGCATCGGCCAAGTGGCCAGGGCGAGCCGAGCGGCAGCTGGAGGAGAGGATACCAAAAAGGGAGAAGTCTCTGTGTATGTACTCGAAAAGAGATCGAATTCGTGATCAATAGAACAGGGCCAGAGACGCGACGCGACTCGATTCGACTCGACTTTGCCAACTTTCTGGACACACACACAAACACAGATATAGACAAAAGCGTGTATCATAATCGTAAATATGTATCCAAGCTGGGAAAGGGTTTCCAAGTGGCGGCCAATCTTGAGGGGCGACCTTTCTGCACAAACAAAACGTCGCGTTGAGAAACATCAATCAATCAATGTGTATCTTTTTTGTTTTTTGTTTTTGTTTTCCTTCTTCTTCGTTTTTATTTTTTTGTGTCAGTTCGGTGGAAACGTTTTGCTGCCATGCCGAGCAGAGTGACCAGGGCAGGGGAGGGTAGAGGATTGAGAAGTCGGGTTACAATTACTGCATCAATTAAATGCCAGGGCAACACTTTGAACCCCAGCCAAGGATCGAGCGGGAACCCTGGCATACCACAAGCCCCCATACACTAATTGCTTGCAGATGCTGTCAGCGAGAAAGAGAGAGAAAGAGAGAGGGTGAGAGAGAGGGAGAGAGAGAGAGAGAGAGAGAGCGAATTCAAAGGAAACCCAAAGGCACGCCGAAGCATGCAACTTCAAAGAAAGCAGCAGCAAAGGCACAAAAAATAAAAACTGAAAAAAAACAACAACAACAAAAAAGCCTAAAGAGAAGAGCAACAAAACACATTGAAATGCCGAACGAGCGAGCGAAAATTTCTTACCTGTTGCAGGTAAATGTAGATAGGCTGAGGTAGAGAGTTCGAGGTAGAGGCAGCTGCTGCTATGCCACAAAAACCTTTTAAAGCCCTCACGTTGATAAACAACAACAACAAAAACAACAACAACAGCATCGAGCAGTTGTCGGCATCGTTGTTGTTATTGTTGAGTCGCCGCCACAAACAAAAATAATAATAACTGAGAGCGGCAAACGGCGTCGGCGCGTTGCAAGGCGGCGGACTCCTCCATCTACAGCTCGCAGCTCGCAGCTCGCAGCTCCATCTTCAGCCGCAGCTCCAACCAGTTCCGCGCTTCCAACTATGCCAAACATCTCGGCGGCCATACACAAAAGCGGTTTAGAGCCGACGATCGACAGACAGACAGACAGACGGACAGACAGAGAGACAGATAAACAGACAGACAGACAAACGAGCGTACGTTGTTTTGTATCTTTCAGATACACACAACACGCGCGCCTGCATTTGTGTGTGTGTGTGTGTGTGTGTGTGTGTGCCTGAGTTGAGCCGCGGGACAAGCTGCGCTTTGCGCACTGTTCAAAAGATGCGCTTTTTGCTTTAAGTTCGGCAGCACAGAGGCCATGCACTGATGCACAGTGGCACAAGAATGTTGTAAAAGGCGATTAATATTTTGCAAATATCAACCATTATTTAATTAAAATCAAACCTAGAAAAGGTCTTCTGTGAGTTGTAATAAGATCTTGTTATGTTTTGCTTAGAAGCACAAATTTATTTTCATACATTCGCATGCTATTTTTCAGCATTCCGTTTTTTTTGATCCATTAGAATGAATATTTGAGCATGTTTTTGCTTCCTGATATTCCGTTTATGCCAAATTCCCGATTTAAGATTGAAAAGACTATCTATACATTTTATACTAAAATCATAAAGTACATTTACTGAAAATATAAACCTCGTATATTTTTTTTTGGAACGAGGCAATTTAAGCTACTTTGTACCACTGTGCGTGTGGTGCGAGTTTCGCAACTTTTGCCTTAGCTCTGGCTCTGTTGTTGTCGCTGTTGTTGTTGTTATTATTATCGTTGTTGTGAATTACGGTAGAAGGCAACAGGCGATTCCAATGGCAGGCAGTCAGGCAGGCAGGCAGTCGGGCACTCATGACAGGCTCAGGCTTCAGTCTTCGCGCAGTGGTGCACTTTTGGGCTGATCCTACCAGAGCGTAGCTCTCTTTAAGCAATTTTCGTAATATTAGCCAGGAAGTTGCCGTTGCCGTTGCCTTTGTCTTTGCTGTTGCCGTTGCCTCTGCCTCTGCCTCTGCCTCTGACATGCCAGCGACCTTATAAGGCCTGGCTCGAGCAGCAAGCAGCGACTGCTGGACACCAGCTCCAACTGGTTTTGTTGTTGAGGCTGTAGCCAGGTCTTTTGGCCTGGGCCGCCAAAAACAATGCCGCCTGTGGCAAAGATAAAAAGCTGTTAGCTTGTAGCTTCTGCATTTTGCGGCCACAGAGATGGCCGGAGAGACAGAGGAGAAGGCATGGGGGCCTTCTCAATCAGAAGATATATGTAATGACTTTTTGAGGTTTTTGTTTTGCTCGTCAGAGTTTGTTTGTTTGTTTGTGTTTGTTGATTTAGCAATTGGCTTCTTGGAAATGTGCCGACAGAGTTCAATGAGCAAACACTGTCAGAGACTGCGACTGCGACGGAGACATTGACTCTGACTTTTGAGTCTTACTCGCCGCCCAATATATATGGCTTATATGTAAATTGTTAGCTCAAACATAAAAGTTAGCTGAAAGCGACAAAAAATGTCGGCAACTATGCTAGTTACTTTCAATGAATATGATGGAAAAATCATGTCAGCCAGTCAACCGGTCAACCAGTTAAATGCTAAACTTGCCCCTAGCCCCTCAACTCAGCCCCGTTGCCAGCAAATTGTATGGTTGAACGGTGTCGGTGCGTCTGACGTCTGATTGATAAGCGCGCTCCGCCTTATCTTAATAATATTTAATGCATGGCATGGCGCGGAGGCCGCTCCAAATGGAGTGTGTGCGTGTGTGTGTGTGCGTGTGTGCGTGGAGTCTTAAGGAGCGCATAGTGAAAATGAAATTGAAAATAATACAAAACGCTTTGTCGGTCATTAGCTTTGAGTGGACGCCGACGCCGTTGTTGCTGCTGCTGCCGCATTTGGGGATCGTCGAATGGGGTCCGTTGATTGTGTCAAAGCGGAAAGCCGCCAAAAATGTTGAACCGCATTTGGGCAGCGGGAGAGAGTGGAAAATCTGTCAGCCCTGGCTTAAAGCTGTGCACGAAACCAAATGGCAAAAATGGTTGCTATTTGTGCTTGTTTGATGCAATACCCTGTAAATAACGTTGCAGAGCAGTAGCTGACTTATAGACTTAGCAAATCTTAAGCTTCATATTCTAAAACTGAAACCTATAAAAAATAATATGTCAGATTATCTATCCGATCAATCAATATATTCAACTCGATTTTTTGATTTATATTATTTTATAAATCTACTATTATAGTTTGACAATTGGACACTTCTTTAAACAGACAACATAAATATATAAATATATATTTTTTATATATATTAAAGATAGCCAGATTGCAGGGTATAAAACGATGCACTCTTCATTTTCCTTTTCAACTCAACAAAATGTGGCATCAAAAGTATTCGCCAGGGAGATAAAACTAAAAGCGTCCAACAAACCAAACCGACGACAACAAAAGCGCGCTACGTGCTTGTGTGTGTGTGTGCGGGTGTGTGTGTTTGTGTGTGTTTGTTTGTGTGCTATTTGGGCGTTTGTCTGTTTTCAACATGCCTTTGTGTGTGTGTGTCAACGGCACACAGACACTTTCCGCTTTTGAAGTGGCTTTTAATTGATAAAAAGCAAAAAAAAAGCAGCTCAAATAAAATAAACCCATAGAAAAAACGGCATTACACATACGCCGTGGTGGCTGTGCAGCTGATAGCAAACGCATCAAGTGACACAGTCAGAGAAAGAGACAGAGGCGGAGACAGGGACAGGGACAGGGACAGAGACAGAGACAGCAATGGCAACGACATTGATATTAATTCCCACGCTGTTGATGCCCCATGGATGAGTGGGTGGGTGGTCGTCCCAGACCCACCGCGTTAAATGATAAAACGTGTTGCCGCGAGAGTATGGCGAACTGTAAGCGGATGGTGTGGAAGGCGGCTTTCAGTTAAAATGCAAAACTGGCCAAGTTAATGCTGAGTGCTGGTGCTGG